CGCTTGAGTCTTCTCAGCGCTAGGAGAGGCAGCAGGTGCCTCAGTCTTTGCCTACAGGAAAGTGGTCAGTTCAGGAATATTTGGTATCCAAGGCGAACGCGAGTAGGTAGAATTAGAGCGTTCAATAATGCGGTTAGAAAATGTTAGCAGTAGGATGACTTTGTGGACAGGTATAGGCAGGAGGAGGACAAGGAAGCAAGTGAAGAAGAGCAAAACGTAACACTCACAGGTTCGGCCGGTGTCGACTCGGAATTACTTTCCGTCGCCTCGGGTGTAGCAGGAGTCTCAGCCTCCTTTGCAGGCTCCTCTGTAGTGGTAGCCTCAACAGAACCAGCACCAACACCTTCTTGCTCTTTGATAGCCTTCTCCTAACCAAAAGATCAGCCTATGGGCATAGCCAACAGTATACAGAGATACGCACACCAACAGGGGCTTCCTCGGCGGCAGCCGCTGTGGTCGCAACAGTCTCCGGCTAAATAAAAACAATGAGTTTCTCGTTAATTATTACACGTTTGGGCGTTTACTCACAGACTGCGAGTCTTTTGGAACATCGCTCTCCTATATACCCCGGATCGACATTCAGCATTTCCAAGCATTAAATAACACCCGCTCAACTCACCTCCGAAAGTGCAATTGAGTCTGTGACGTCAGCGGGTGTCCCCTCATCGTCCTTCACGATTTCGGACTGCTTCGATTCATGCTTTTCCTTTTCCAGCGCCGGGTAATCGTGGTGGTCGTTGTGGACAGCATGGGCGTGCTGAGACTTACGCGCCGAGGGCGAAACGAGGTACAAGAACTATAACGAAAAAAGGTGGTATAAGCGGGTATTCTCGGTTCTCAAAAAAATAATACTCACGAGAGGACCGAAAACGAGAGTAGCACCAACCTACAGGATCGGTAAAGGGGGTTAGGAATTGGTATTGGTATTGGTATGGCAACAGTTAGTAGCAACAGACTTACAATCCAAGGCAGGTCTGACTTTTTGGGTTGAGCACCATGTGACTGGGCACTCATGTTCCTCCTCGCCGGGAGCGTAGTCGCGCGGGACCTTGCCGATGCGCGGAGGGACGCAAAGGCGCTACGAGCGAAACGAGCGGACATGGCTTGAGACGAGGAAATACTGGGAACGAGGAAAGCTATTTCGATGCTCAAATGTTCAATCTCCCGTGGGACTCGAACACGGGTCAGACCGGCTGATGACGTATATTCCCAGCCAATTACCTCCATCATTTCTGTACTCTAAAGTCTACCACTCTAACCCTAGTTTCGACAACAGCACCAACCCCATAGCTGCTTGGAACGGCTCTTCTATAGCAAGTCGCTCGTCCAACAAATGATTGACGACCCCTTCCCTCCCGAACAGGTATTCGCTTTCCGGCAAACGGAACGGTTCAAGACGTTCTTGTAGATGACTGAGGGGAGCGTAATCGTAGTGTAGGCCAGAGAGATCCAAGTAGTTAGAGTCAGCGTTCCAATTATTTTCTTTCTTGGTGACTGGGTAATCGTCAGAGTGCCCTTGCAGTTCGTCGAGCCGGCCACCGGACATTGAGAAAACTTGAAGACTTTCACCGGGGTGCGGAATGTCCAAGTCGACAGAGTTGAGTGCGTCAGTCGGTGGCGGCGATAAAGCAGGCGCAGGTATATCGGGAACCCCAGAAACAACAGCATATGGAGACGTAGCCGCCAATCCAGTCAACGCTGGCAGGAGAGTCTACAGCACAAGAAAATCAGCAACAGACCGAGAAAGACGACAGCCCAATGACCGGAAAGAGTGTCGCATAGTTGAGCAGCATAGCGCGAAATACAGTAGGATCGTTGTTAAGAGCCATATACGCCGCTAGAGCCTGGGTTGGAAGATTCCGAGCTGCACCAGACAGAACCTCTTGCGCTAGAGCGCAAGCACAAGAGTTAGACCAAATAAATGCGCTAGGGATTGACCGTACCAGCCGATGCAAAAGGTGTTTCACAAAGAGCAGCAAAATTCATCGCCGCTTGTGTGTGGGTAGAACCAGGACCCCGAATTTCGCTCGAGGCCGGTGAAGATGCTCGCTGAGATTCTAGGTCTAGGTCTTTCTGGTAAGGAGAAGCAGCTTCCGCAGAGACAGGGTCAGAAAAATAGTCGTTTGGCATCGAGTGTCTAAACTTGTTGGTGCGCATAAGGGGACCAGATGGCCGGTACGGGAGAGCCATCGGAGGGCGGTTGAGTGAACCGCCAGAGAATTGTCCAGTAGACGAGAATGTGCTAGTCATAGGTGCAGTAGTTAAACGACCCAAGGAATTTTGTGGATATATGCTTTCCGTTTGAGGTTCGGGAGGCTTCCGCGAGCGAGTAGGCGGCGGAACTGGGAATCGTGATTGCATGCGAGCCTCTTGGCTTTGAATCTGGGCCGCCGGAGGCAGTAATTGGGGTGGATGAGCCCTCAGACGTTTCGCGGTAGCACTAGAGACAGACGCCAACGGAACTTGTATGTCTTGATGTTCTGACTTGACGACAACTCTTGAGATTTTAGGTCCAGGTTTTCCGCGAGTAGCCCGACGACGAGTGGCCTTGGCCTTGGGTTTAATGGGTCTTGGCGTTGAGGTAGGTTCCTGAATAGCAGAGCGAAGGGGGGATGAAGGGGGCTCGCTTTCCATGAGCGTTTCCCGGTATTCTGTTTTGAAAGTCATAATTTCCGAAGTCGAGGGATGAGTGGTATTTGTAGACACAGAGGAGCTAGCGGTCATATCAATGACCTCGCCCGCTTTGCGTGATTTGCTCCGCTGCCTTCCGAACCAGTTACTGATCCATCTCCGTGGCCTACAAGATTAAAATATATCCTGAATCAGCCATGCACGCGGACAAGAAGTCGAAAGGCATACAAGCCTGTCTGCTGAGTCAGCTCCTGAACTGTCTGAAGAGAAGGGTTGTACGAGACAGCATATGCTGCCTTGAGAAGAGCTGTCTGTTCCGGATCTGCGCGGATAGCAGGCGTTTTCTGTTTCGCAGATAATGCGTTGCTCATGAGAGTAACTGAACAACTGAATCAGATCAAATGTCGTCATCACAAATTCAAATACTCTCACATTCTTGCATAAACACCCACTCATTCCCTCACGCTCCAAGCTCCCGGCATGCCACCAGTCTACTCCCCGCTTCCCACAACCGACACGGACACCACCCAACCCCGGGTGGACGCGGACAAACAACTCGACCTCGAAGCTGTCCTTCGCCGTGAACGCACAACTGCAGTCAAGAAGATTATATTCTACATCCTCGCTGGCGTCGCCATCATGTATGCGCTCGTACTTGCTGTCAAGCAATTCCCATCCGCTTGTAGGATGATGAGGTCTGGGGGTATGCATATGCAAAACGGAACCCGCCACGCCCATATGGGCAAAATGCATAACATGACGGGATGCCATGGCGCCAATCGCACCCTGTCTACTGCTTCAGGCTTGCCCAGCTTCTATACATTGCCTTCAGGCGATAAGATCCCGTCCGTCGCACTTGGTAAGTCTTGTCCTTGTACCAATATTTCCTGAACAGGAATTTACCCAACAATATCGATTCAGGGGTTTGGCGTGCAGATCCGGGCCAAGTTGGCGACGCTGTCAAGGTTTGCTTTATCCAATACGTGCTGGGCCATTGTCTCATTATCATGTTAAGGCTGCATTGAAAGCCGGCTATAGGCACATTGACGGCGCATGGATCTATGGTGTACGTTTACACACCTCTGTCCTCTTATTAACAAAACTTGACGGCCTTTTGGAAACTTAGAATGAGGCTGAAGTTGGAAAGGCCATTCAGGAGAGTGGCGTATCCCGCAGCGATATCTGGATCACCTCCAAGGTAGTGCTACGGTCAAACGGACTTATAGACCCACGTTAATTGCCGATTTCAGCTGTGGAATAGCTTCCATGCCCCAGAGGACGTCGAGCCGGCTCTTGACGAATCACTCTCGAAGCTCGGTACAGACTATCTTGACTTGTATCTCATCCACTGGCCTGTCGCATTCAAGAAGGACAAGGGCCAAGAAGTAGACTATAACCTTACCGAGAATACGTACCCAACCTGGCAAAAGCTTGAGGAAATGGTGGCTAAAGGTAAGGTTAGGAACATCGGTGTCAGCAAGTACGTTTCTATCCTCTCCAATCACATTGTCCCCGTTAACTGACTTTGTTCCAGTTTCAACGTTCGAAGGTCATTCCGTCTATTGTAGCACCTAACGAACAGCACACTAACGCGAACTTACCAGGCTCCAAAAATTGACCGCAAACCCCTTGAAAATCCATCCCGCCATCAACCAGGTTGAATTGAACTACTGGAACCCTCAACCAGACCTCCTGGAGGCCAGTCACCTATTCTATATCAAGAGATCACAACTCATGTATTCTACAGTGGTCTAAACAGACTGGTCTCTTACTCGAAGCTTACTCTCCTCTTGGAGGCCAGAACTGGGTCAAGAAAACTCTGGAAGTTCCTGAGGTAGACATACACTCCCAACGTACAACGCACTGGCTCAATCTTCTCGATTTCTTGTAGGTCAAGAGTATCGCCCAGGAACTCGGCATTACTCCTGCCCAAGTCATCACCTCCTGGCACGTCCAACGTGGAGTACGTGTTCTCCACCTTCCACCTCCTCCTCAACACCCGATTAATTTATCACCAGACCGTCGTGTTGCCCAAGAGTGTCCACCCCTCTCGTGTCATTGAGAATTTCCACGGTGAGCTTTCGGCTACGCATTCAGTGATAGGACTAATGTCTCAAACCGGTGTCAGTCGTTCCTTTGCCCCAGGAGTCATTCGACAAGCTGGAGAAGGCTGCTGTGTCCCACAAGCCCGAGCGATCCGTGAATCCGAACTGGGGAGTAGATGTATGGAACTGAATGAGGCGAGATATTTAGTGTACCGTAGTCCCTCGCCATACTTGCAGGTAACACGACTATAATTTCTGAACTCCTTCCCCTCCAAGGAAATTCCCTGGGACCACCATATTTTCCGGCTACGATAGCTTTCCCAAGCCCGCCTAGCTCAATTGGTCAGAGCGTCAGACTTTTACGGCTAGGTCAAGGACCAATAGTGATCATCTGAAAGTTGCGGGTTCGAGTCCCGCGGTGGGCTATATTTTTGCTCATCCCGACTCGGGAAGAGGCTTAACAAAATATGTACAAATTGAACTTCATTTATTTCCTTCAGTGTCCTTCTCCTTGGTAAGATGGAAGTGGTCAACGACAATCTGGACAATATCTCGCCATTCTGTCATAGCTCCCATACCTACCATGGTTGGACAGACAGTTTCAGTAAGGAAGTCAATAATGCTTACCGATGTCACCACAGGCCAAGTTCTTGCCTATCGGACCAACGACGTTGTATCGCACAACATCACGAACTATCCTGAGATGCTCCGCCGTGAGAGGGTGTTCGTACATAAACGTGTTCATGGCGGGGAAAATGTATGTTGGGGTCGTTGGTGCCAGAGCGCGGAGGAGGGATGTCTGGAAACATGCATGGATAGACGAGTCCGTTAGTACCGGTGGGGATTTGTGAGAAAAGTGTACATGATACCCACTGCGAGATTGTCACAGATGCCTTGAGATATCTTGGCTAGTGTGTTTGCGGAGCAGGGCGCAACGAGGACTATGTCTGCCCAACGGCGTAATTCTATGTGCAGGATCGGGTCACCGATTTTATACGTATCCTTGATGAATTCAGATGTTAAATGGCGGTACGGAAACGCAGAAACGGGAATCGTACCGGCCATTCGTCTTCGTCCACCCACGTATGCACACCCTGACTCTTGATATCCTCACGTTTGAAGAAGGCAAGAGAGGGTTTGGTCGCTACGACTTCGACCCTGACTCTGTTGTACTACTGATGCAGTATGGTGTCAGTGTATTTTTTGTGAGGGGTTGGGGAATGGTGCCCGTACTGTCAGAAGCTCCCGTACGATTAGAGGGGCCTTGACGGAAGCGACGCTACCTGTGGTGATGAGGAGGACATGTACGTGGTCCGGTGCACGTTCGGCCTCTGCGACGAATGTTCTTGTTGGGTGTGGCGTCAGCATCGGTACACCAATATACTTCCCGTCAATGCGTCAGTAGAGGGAGGCAGATGCAGAGAGGGTCTGGAGAGGCTTAGTAATGTGATCGGCTAAGTATAGATCAATGAATCTTATCTTTGCCCTGAATAGTCAGCTTGTAGCTTCAGCCCGTAAGGGACAATATGATGACCGCAATGGTGATCGGAGGCGCTCCTGGCCTTGTTGCCTAGGTATATTAACGCACAGACCCCGTTGACAACCGCCATCTGCTCTTTTCCTTCCCCTTCATCTTTTCATCTCCAAGAGCTGGGTGAGTCTTTTCCCTTGGTGGGCCTTGTCACTGATTCACTAACTCTGTTTGTGCTGCGCTATGCCAGGCTCTTTGTCTTTCATTTCTACTTTTATTTCTTCCGTTGATCTTCTCGAGTAACTTGACCGTTCGCTCCCCTCAAGGTTTTTTTTGTAAACATGCGTGTCCTCTTTGTTCTCGCTTCACTCTCTGCCCTCGTCTATGCGGCAAATATCCTCGTCATGGTTGGTAAGGATGGTGGTTTGACTTATGATCCTGCAAGGTCGGTACTCCTACCTTACAATACTCTCCTCATCTAAAGAAGAGTAGTGTCACGGCAAAGAAAGGCGACACTGTCGCTTTCCGGTTGTACGTCTGGGTCTATTTTCATCTCGCGATCAAATTCTGATTTATTATATTTATGCCAGTCTTTCAAAGAATCATGTACGCCGATCCCATGTCATTATTATTGGGTGGAAGTTGACATGGCAACTCCTGTGGAATTCTTTTAGACCGTGACGCAGTCGAGCTTTGCGAAACCTTGCCAGCCTTTGTGAGCACCTGCAGTTGTCGATCGAACTTATGGTGACCTTTTTTTAGGGCTACTGGCGTTGATTCAGGATATGCCCCTGTCCCAGCCAATTCTACAGCATTCCCTGAATGGTCATTCACGGTCAACAATGGTACGCGTTTATTTCGAGGGATCACATCACTGCGGGACTAGGGCTGAACAGAGATAACCAGATTCTGCGCCTTTTTGGTTCTATTGTGCTCAAGCCCGGTATGTACCGTCAGTTGTCGCATACAGCCCATCCCGCTTACATGCGGGTTAAAAATGACAGTCACTGTCAAGCTGGGATGGTGTTCGCTTTGAACCCGACCGCTAATAAGACATTCAACATGTTCAAGGTCTGTGTACCCCTCCCCCCTCCTCCCATTAAACTCAATCTCTGACCAAATTTTAGGCAAATGCAATGGGAGCTTCCGGTTCATCCAATACCAGCACCACCTCTGCACCTCCCCTCGCAGGCGCAACCCCCCCATCCACTGTTGGTTCACCCAATACCGCGACAGGTATCACTGCATCTGGAACTGCCGCGGGTTCTTTGAATCCACAGGCTAACGGTGCACCGTCGACCAGGAGTATGAGCAGTGTTGTTGTCGTGGTTGCGGTCGTTGGGTTAGTTTCTGGACTTTCGATGTGAGATATTAGCACGGATGGGTTTGGTGCTGCAGCTTGTTCCGATGCTCTGTTTGTAAAACTACCTGAAGGGAAATAAAAGGGCTTTTGGATAAGACTACGTGAATACCCACCTGATAGAGGAAGATTCCGGCTGTTGGATTGACCTGAAGACGTCGACTTGCTGAGACTCAACACATCCTCCCCTCTCATAGCACGCACACGGGGGCTTTTCTAAAACCGTAGTATCAACCGTGTATTATAGATACGTAGATAATAAATAAAAGGTATTAACTGTTTACAGTGTACATTATTCTCTAGTTCCGCTATCTTCCTGCTGTTATACGGTTACCTCCACCAGCAATGGCGGATCTAGACTCCTACTTCCTCATGATAAATAACATCACTCTTGCGAATCCGTTTGCCTTCCAGAACTTGAGTAGGTGCTGGTCGTCATGTATGTGCTATGATTGAAAACCATTGAGCCATATGGTTTCGGGGTTCGCCAAAATAACCATGCTTGAAGAAGGTCCTGTAAACAAGGCACAGTTATATACCGTCGAAACCGTACTGAAACGCGAGATTAACCTTTTGTGTACCAAAAGCAAAGGCAATGAAGATGGACACTAATCACGATAGATCAGTATTTCGGTATTCAAGACTTCCACTAAACGCGGTAAGCTTACGGGTTGGGTGCGCAATACTCGTTGCTTCAGGCGTCTCAAAAACGAACGCCAACATACCGAGTCTGCGAAACAACACAGTCAACTCCTTGATCACTTTCACAGGATGCTGGCACATCACCACGCACACGAGGGCTACTACAGCGGCGAAGGTACATAACATTAGCCGCAGATATACCGTGAGGAATATTTGGCGGTCTGCTTGGCTGAGGCGCTTGAAAACATCCCAGTTCCGGTACATCACAAGACCTGTCCAGACTGAGTGATGGAATTAGTCGAAACTCGAAGCCTCAGGGCTGGACATTGGAAGTGCCAGATACCTTCTAACGGGACCAAAATAGCCATAGTTGATATGACCAAACCTGATGTTACTTGATTCCTACAGGTGCAAAAGATTGGTTAGACATCCCCGAGCAACAGTCCTGATTAGTATCACCCACGGAATGCTATTTTGAAGATGACAGTAGAAACTATTTGTGGTCCGGTCAACGAGGTGGACTTGCTTCCCAAGGAAGATAAGCTAATTTGATGAGTGCAAACATTGGGGTGTCGATGGAAGTTGCGCATACCAGGAATACTTCAAGTTCGATCGCTAAAAATACCAACCATGGGGTGACGGCGAGCTTGAGAAAACAAGAAAATCAACCAAAGCCATACGAGATTAAGTATCCGAATTTACCCAGAATTTCCTTGAGGGGCTGGGCTGTCTTGGACTACCGGATTTCAGGCCAGATACTATGAGATAGAACTATGAAGGTGGCATGGTCAGCATGCCGTACATTTCCCGCAAAATGAAAAAGTTTACCTCGATGTAATAGCAAAGTGTGCCAAAAGAGACCCTATAAACGCAATGAGGCGAGCGCGGATAGTAGGAATGAGAAGACCAGCTCACAGTGGAGGCACTGAATAAACTAGTGGTGCTTGGAAGATACATAAACCGAGTGGAGGCTTGTTTGGCCCTTCTTGCCACCCAACCAGTAGCCCATAGCTCAGAGAATAAACCAGCCACGCTGTCATCAAACTGTACCATCCGACACTCCGATGGACATTCTTGGAAAAAACCGCTGGAAGTAAGGTGCAAAGACACAGGATCACGGCTACCAGAACAACCACATCAAAGAGTATGATTAGAGCATGAATAGAAGGCATGATGGCACTGCTAAACGGCAGAGAAATGAGGAGGGGGGAAGTTAAGGTCAGTCCTGTCCAGGGGTGTCGGGCATAAAAAACGATGACTCTCAGTAGTTTTATGGGATTTTTTTCAGGGGGCAGTGTTTTCCGACTTGATGGTGCTGAAGGCTTCATCGAGGTATGCGGTGGGAACTACTTTTTTTATAGTTTTTTGTGGGATCTTTTGAGGTTGGTCTATCTGGTTTCCCAATTTACCTGACATCCAATTTTAATTAGAATCGTTGTTGAAACGTGCGTGCATCGCAATCATTACGTGGGCAGATCTCAGCATAAGCGACTATTGACGATGAGTGTACATTTATAGTCTGTAAGCAAGGCTGTTACTCTGGATGAGCGCCATCCAGATCCTTGTTTTGTACAGTCTAGGTACAGTTACATTAGCATGTAGAGCCTAGTAAGACGGAAGGCACACCTGAATAATTCCCTCACAAGCTCCCTGAAATCAAGTTTCTGTCCCGCAACGTAGTAGAATGTCAATTTACGGCGGTCCCTGCATCGAGTGTAAATAGAAACGACTGCGAGAAGGTGGGGGAGATGTACCATCGATACTCTGCATCAATGACTTCCATAGGCAACTTCTTCGCCTTTACTTTACTCCGACAGAGCGCCAATGCCATCGTCTCATCATGTGCTTTCGCTGCCAGCATCCTGTCCACGACCAGGGAAATTAGCCAAACCCGAGGAGAGAAAGTGAACCATGTAACGTGCGTTGCTTCCTGTTCAAGATCAGCCTTTCTA